CTTTTGTTTATTTTGTTTATTATTTATTTATTTATTTATTGTAATTTGCCAAGAGGACACATGGGGTAACCTGAGAAAGACAGAGAGAGTAAATGAGAATGCACCCCACCTTCTTGAGGAATAGTGACACCACAATCCCTTTTCCATTTCTCCCTCTTGTCTGGATTTTGGGCACACACACACACGAGCACCATGTATTTTTCTAGCCACATGATTCAGGACTAGAATCAAGCAATTGGCCACATAGGATCCAACTGCTTCAACTACTACGCCACCAGCTGGCCCATTTTCTTTTCAGTAATGAAATAGTCATCCGCAAAGCCACTATTCAAAATAAAAACTAGGACTCTGAAAACAAGCTCACACCAAACCCTTGGTTCCCCCACTGATCCATGCCCCTCTTTCCTCCCATCTAAGGGCCCATCACCCAGAATTCTACTTTCATTGTCCCATTTATCTCATTTTGTTGTAACCACTTATCTTCCTTAAAAGCCAAGAAATATATATTTAGTAATTTTATTTTTTGTTGTTTTGTTTTGTTTTTAGTTTTTGGAGAAGTTTTTGCTACAGGGCACGTGCACTTACTAGAAAGACAGAGAGACAGAAAGCGAGAACCCCCCCCCCCCTCCCCGTGAAGATAGCCACTCTGCAATCCCTTCTCATCCATTCTCCTTTCAGCATGAATTTAAACCACCGGGTCCGGGACTCGAACTGTGGTCGACTACATGGGAGTCCAGTGACATAGCCATTATGCCAACTGCTGGTCCTGATAATGTAATTTTTCTACACATTTTAAAGAGGGTAACAAAATTATATTCATCTATTAAATGTGATCAGAAAAATAAGCCAGGAAAAGTTGATGGTACTGATTAGGTTTTAACTAGAGTTTCTCATAATAAAAGTTGTACAGTAAGGATAAACACTGACTTAATATGTATTCCATGTAAATTGTTATGTATTTTTAAGTTGACAAGAAAAATAAACAACTTTGTGCATCTGAATTTTTTTCCAACAATTTTGTTGTCTTCACAATGTCTTAATGTGAAACTTACCTCTAACCAAAAAAAGGAACTTGGCAAAAAGTTTTTTAGCATACTTTTTAAGATGAATAACGGTAGTCTACAACTTAATATTTTTTATCAAGTATTAAGTTACTGTTTTGTGGATAAGTGAAATAAAAATTCTCATTGAATGAAAAACAATACTTGGAATTTCCAGGAAGCAAAGAAGAATGAGCGTAATGGTAAAAATGAAATGGGATCACACATTCGTGATCCCTACACCTTCCCTCCTACCCCTTGATAAAAGGTCAATCCAGCACAATTAAGAAAGCTTGAAAGTGTGTTATGCGTTATTCATGTCACAGCAACTTTCATTCTGATTATAGATATTTATACATCCTAAGAGGGCTTAGTTGAAACTCTTCATGTATTTCTGATTGCAACATATTTGGTCATTGTGAGCCAAGATATATAGGATGATATATTTTCTAAAATGATGTAGAGTTGTCTACGTTGCCAAAGAGAAACCCTTTCATAGACACTGCAGTTTTTAACCTTTCCTTCCTTTCAACATCCTTAATTTCTCTCCATGTCTAGTAGAGTTGAAGTATTTATAGTAAACCAAAACACCTATTGGAACTCTGAAGGAACAGACTCATCCATCTTTCGAATTATAGGATTGTTTTTTGCAGTATACAATATGCATTATTATGGAATAAATATTGTAATTTCTTAAGGATATTGAACTCTAATCTTCCTTGAACGGGAATTTTACAATTTACTGCTTTAAATATTGGCACTTAATCATAGGCAAAAATGGTATTTAAATAGTTCAAATATTGGACCAGTAGGTGGCTTGAAGGTTAAGGCCCTGGAACCCACATAGCCTATGCGGTGGTTGAATCCCAAACCTGGGTGCCTGAAAACATGCCAGTGTCCTGCCCCCAAATCCTGAGAAGAGAATGGAGAAGGGAATGCAGGGAGATCATGCGGGAAGGGGTATTTCTCATTTTCTCTCTCTGTCTCTGTTTCTCTCCTGTGAACACAAGCACCCTATGGAAAACAAAAACAAAACCAAAACCGAAAAACAAGTTCAAGAATCAAAAGGTCACGAACTCATTTATATAATCTGAAAAGTTATCAACCAAGATGGTGGTAAGAAAAATCTAACCACCTAACAGATCTCCTAGGGCCTGGCCATTATTTTTCATTTCCTTTCCAAATGAACCAATACAAACCATTTCAAAGAGAAGAAAACAGAAGTAAAGAATAAACTAATACCGCAAGCACTGACCCAAGAAGCAGAATTTCCCTTTTAAAATACCCAAAGGAACACTAAATTAGTCTTTGACTAGCAAATAACACGCTTGAGTCTGCTATGACAGAACAGAGGCCGCATGCCCCCCCCCCCAAAAAAAAAAAATCCGCGCTTAAATAGTGCTGCCTCTGGTGGCGAAATGGAGATGCTAAAATTTCTCTGGAGACTTCACCCCAACAGGAGCAGGCAGTCCAAAGACCGGAGCCCGTTACCAATTACTCCGACGCCAACTCCACTCCTCCGGATAGAAACACAATGGGCGGGCGTGGGTTTATAATCACACAAGGCGAAACCCCCCCCCCCCCTCCCCGTGAAGATAGCCACTCTGCAATCCCTTCTCATCCATTCTCCTTTCAGCATGAATTTAAACCACCGGGTCCGGGACTCGAACTGTGGTCGACTACATGGGAGTCCAGTGACATAGCCATTATGCCAACTGCTGGTCCTGATAATGTAATTTTTCTACACATTTTAAAGAGGGTAACAAAATTATATTCATCTATTAAATGTGATCAGAAAAATAAGCCAGGAAAAGTTGATGGTACTGATTAGGTTTTAACTAGAGTTTCTCATAATAAAAGTTGTACAGTAAGGATAAACACTGACTTAATATGTATTCCATGTAAATTGTTATGTATTTTTAAGTTGACAAGAAAAATAAACAACTTTGTGCATCTGAATTTTTTTCCAACAATTTTGTTGTCTTCACAATGTCTTAATGTGAAACTTACCTCTAACCAAAAAAAGGAACTTGGCAAAAAGTTTTTTAGCATACTTTTTAAGATGAATAACGGTAGTCTACAACTTAATATTTTTTATCAAGTATTAAGTTACTGTTTTGTGGATAAGTGAAATAAAAATTCTCATTGAATGAAAAACAATACTTGGAATTTCCAGGAAGCAAAGAAGAATGAGCGTAATGGTAAAAATGAAATGGGATCACACATTCGTGATCCCTACACCTTCCCTCCTACCCCTTGATAAAAGGTCAATCCAGCACAATTAAGAAAGCTTGAAAGTGTGTTATGCGTTATTCATGTCACAGCAACTTTCATTCTGATTATAGATATTTATACATCCTAAGAGGGCTTAGTTGAAACTCTTCATGTATTTCTGATTGCAACATATTTGGTCATTGTGAGCCAAGATATATAGGATGATATATTTTCTAAAATGATGTAGAGTTGTCTACGTTGCCAAAGAGAAACCCTTTCATAGACACTGCAGTTTTTAACCTTTCCTTCCTTTCAACATCCTTAATTTCTCTCCATGTCTAGTAGAGTTGAAGTATTTATAGTAAACCAAAACACCTATTGGAACTCTGAAGGAACAGACTCATCCATCTTTCGAATTATAGGATTGTTTTTTGCAGTATACAATATGCATTATTATGGAATAAATATTGTAATTTCTTAAGGATATTGAACTCTAATCTTCCTTGAACGGGAATTTTACAATTTACTGCTTTAAATATTGGCACTTAATCATAGGCAAAAATGGTATTTAAATAGTTCAAATATTGGACCAGTAGGTGGCTTGAAGGTTAAGGCCCTGGAACCCACATAGCCTATGCGGTGGTTGAATCCCAAACCTGGGTGCCTGAAAACATGCCAGTGTCCTGCCCCCAAATCCTGAGAAGAGAATGGAGAAGGGAATGCAGGGAGATCATGCGGGAAGGGGTATTTCTCATTTTCTCTCTCTGTCTCTGTTTCTCTCCTGTGAACACAAGCACCCTATGGAAAACAAAAACAAAACCAAAACCGAAAAACAAGTTCAAGAATCAAAAGGTCACGAACTCATTTATATAATCTGAAAAGTTATCAACCAAGATGGTGGTAAGAAAAATCTAACCACCTAACAGATCTCCTAGGGCCTGGCCATTATTTTTCATTTCCTTTCCAAATGAACCAATACAAACCATTTCAAAGAGAAGAAAACAGAAGTAAAGAATAAACTAATACCGCAAGCACTGACCCAAGAAGCAGAATTTCCCTTTTAAAATACCCAAAGGAACACTAAATTAGTCTTTGACTAGCAAATAACATGCTTGAGTCTGCTATTACAGAACAGAGAGAGGCAGACCCCCCCCCCCAAAAAAAAAAAAAAAAATCCGCGCTTAAATAGTGCTGCCTCTGGTGGCGAAATGGAGATGCTAAAATTTCTCTGGAGACTTCACCCCAACAGGAGCAGGCAGTCCAAAGACCGGAGCCCGTTACCAATTACTCCGACGCCAACTCCACTCCTCCGGATAGAAACACAATGGGCGGGCGTGGGTTTATAATCACACGCCAAGTTCCTGTTCTCGTCCTTGGTGCCAACATTCTCCAATGCGTTCTGGGATATGAGATCCCGAACCTGCCTCAATAGGGAAAAACGATGCACTGCATCCCCGAGGTCGACTTTGCTTTTCTCCTGCTCTATGTAGGGTGTTTGACCGTCTGGTCGCCTGAGCTCCCTGTGCCCTGGCGCCAGCTGCGTCCCAGACCCCAGAATAAATCAGGGCTGTGCCAGGCCTGGCAAAGCTCCGGATACATTTCCTGTCCCGGCCTAAGGGAAGCTGTTGGCTGCTGGAACCCTAGGGGGGATTCTTGGCTGTTGTGGGGCCCTGCGGGGGCGACGACGGAGGGAAGGGGAGGGGCGAGGACAGAGCGGAGGGAGCCAGCTGTAGAGGGCGGCGACCGCGCCCTAGAGACGGCTCGCTCCTTTGGCGGGACAGACCCAAGTTGGGAGCAGCTGTGGGCGCCTGGCCTTCGAGATGAGACCCGCTGTGGCCCTGTACCTCCTCTGGCAGGCGCTTTGGCCCGAGCCCGGCAGTGGCGAGCACCCCACCGCCGACCGCGCGGACTGCTCTACCTCGGGGGCCTGCTCCAGCTTGCACCACTCTACCATCAAGCGGCTGGCTGCGGAGGAGGCCTGTATTCTGCGTGGCGGGGTGCTCAGCACCGTGCACGGGGGCGCAGAGCTGCGCATTGTACTAGCGCTCCTGCGGGCAGGCCCCGCGCCCGCCGAAGGCTCCAAAAAGTTTCTGTTCTGGGTCGCGCTGGAGCGCGGGCGTTCCCATTGCACCCTGGGGAACGAGCCATTGCGGGGTTTCTCCTGGCTGTCCCCCGACGCCGGCGGGTCCGAAAGCGACACGCTGCAGTGGGTGGAAGAGCCTCAACCCTCCTGCACTGTGAGGAGGTGTGCGGGACTCCAGGCCACTGGGGGCGTCGAGCCTGCAGGCTGGAAGGAGACGCGATGCCACTTGCGCGCCAATGGCTACCTATGCAAATACCAGTATGAGGGCCTGTGCCCCGCGCCGCGCCCCGGGGCCGCCTCAAACTTGAGCTACCGCGCGCCCTTCCAGCTGCACAGCGCGGCGATGGACCTCAGCCCCCCAGGGACCGAGGTGAGTGCGCTTTGCCCTGGGCAGCTCTTCATCTCAGCCACCTGCGTCGTGGACGAGACCGGCGCGCGCTGGGAAGGGCTCTCCCCCGGGGCGGTGCTCTGTCCTTGCCCCGGGAGGTACCTTCGCGCTGGCAAATGCGCGGAGCTCCCTAACTGCCTAGAGGACTTGGGAGGCTTTGCCTGCGAATGCGCTGAGGGCTTCAAGCTGGGGAAGGACGGACGCTCTTGTGTGACTAGTGGGGAAACACAACCTACGCCTGGAGGGACCAAGGCACCCACCAGGCGCCCGCCGGCCACCGCATCCAACCCAGTGCTGAAGAGAACGCAGTCACCCAGAGTACACCAGAAGTCATCCATACCCCATGATGCTGGAGAAGGAAGTTCAACATCTGCTCCCCAGATTCCTCAGTGGGGGGCGCAGAGCACTTCGTCTACCCTTCAGATATCCTCTCAAGCAAAGTCAAAGGCCACCACGGTCCCATCAGAAAGCGTGATTCCCAAGTTTGATTCCACGTCTCCCCCTGCCATTCCCCAGTCTTTTAACTCCTCTTCCTCCACTGTAGTCTTCATACTCGTGAGCATAGCAGTAGTAGTGTTGGTGATCCTGACCATGACGGTTTTGGGGCTTTTCAAACTATGCTTTCACAAGAGCCCTTCCTCCCAACTAAGGAAAGGACCTTTGGCTCCGCAGGGTGTGCAGAGTGATGCTGAGGCGGCAACTTCGCACTCCAGTCCTGCACATTGCACCGAAAATGGGGTGAGGGCCAGGGACTGTGGTCTGCGGGACAGAGCAGAGGATGCCTCGCTGGCTGGGTCCTCTCTTGGCTCTGACAACACATAGGGAAATGGCACATGGACACTCCTTATGCGCAGTTTTTTTCTTTCAATGAAAATGAAGGGAAGCGAGGAACTTTCCTTGGGATTTGACGATTATTGCAGAAAATCCCTTTCCTCTGAATTCCCTCTACTTCGCTGAAACGCTAAGCCCAAATAGC